CACGTCGTCGGGGCACAGATGTGGGGAGAGGGTGGGAGGATGTCCACGCGACGTGGAGAGGTGAGGAGAGCCGTGGAGAGGGTGGGAGGACGTCCACGCGTGAGCGGGAGACGTGGAGAGGGTGGGCGACGACGTGCACGGGCGAGAGAGGGGTACCGAGAGCACATCGCCCGCTCGCCCGTGAACATCGCACCCCCTCCCCACCTCTCCACCTCTCCACCTCTCCCGCTCACGGGTGGACATCCTCCCTCGCTCTCCACAGCTCTCGGTACCCGCGCCCGTCGTCGCCCGTTGCCCGCGTCCGTCGTCGCCCGTTGCCCGCGTCCGTCGCCCGCGTCCGTCGCCCGCGTCCGTCGTTGTCCATCGCCCGTGTCCTTCGTCACCCGTCGCCCGCGCACGTCGTCGCCTGTACCCCTCTCTCGCCCATGCACGTCGCCCACCCTCCCCACGTCTCTCCGTCGCCTGCTCGCCCGTGCCCGTCACCTCCCCCTCACGCGGCCTCGGCCCCTTGCCCGCTCACCGGTGCAAGTGCTGCAAGGGCCTCTCCCCGTCCCCCGCCGCCTTCTGTACGTCGTCCCCGCCTCCCCCTACCTCTCGCCCTCGCCCGCTTACCTGCATTTGTCGCCCCTCCCTTCCTTAGGTATCTTGATGTCGCGCGCAGGCTACGCAAGTCGCCGGCCCCTCGCTCGCCCTGTGCTCGCCACCCCCTCGCCCCGGGACGTTGCCCCTCTCTCCCGCTTCTTCTCCCCGCCGCCTGCTCGCCCGTTGGTGTGGCAGTCCCATCCCACTGGCTCTCCACGTCGCCTGCTTGCCCCCGCATGTCGCCCTGCTCACTGAAGGGGCAAAGCGACGACCATGGTGAAGGCACACGTACTTGGGATGTGTACCCACATCCCAAGTACGTGTGCTATCATCGCGGTCGTCGTGCACACGCAGGCACACGTCGTCCCTTCCGCTCCCCGCTGTGGGATATATCTCCCTCCCCCCACGCATTGCCCCACCCTCTACAGCTCCGTCTGATGCGTGGCTGACCACTCACCTTCAGATCTACTCCACGTTCACCATGTCGCCTCTCATTGCCCCTCGTCATCTATCGGTAAGCCTGTTAATTACTCCTCTTTAGCGATCTGCGTCTAGTTGATTGGCACCCACAGACCCTCCTTACCTTGTACAAGATAGGCAATCGTGTGCGCATCCCCGTACGCTGGTCCAACCTGCAGCAGGTACGTACGCACAACGTAGCATGTTCTGCGGTTTTCATTGCTTCGTAGGCGTTGCAGGCTCTGGATTTCGAAGTCGAAAACCGCAAGGGGTTGAAGCGTCGGGTGGTCGCTCCCTCCCACCTTGGCGGGGCTTGTACGACTTTGATGCAGGTGCGTCCTTTCATCGCAAACACGCTCCACATCTACTGATCATGGAGTCAGCCCAAAAACGGGATTATTGCACCTCCCAGCCAGGCGTAGTAAGTGTGGTATCACCTTCCCAACCTTCGGAACTGAGCGATCCAGCAGTGTGGTCTCCCAGCTCAGCCAGCGATGTGGCCTAACTGCGGAGTACCTGGAGAACCTGGCCAAGGGGTCGTCGTAGACCTACATACGTAGACGAGGCCGCTACCGTTCGTCGATTCGCAGATGTGTAATGAAACTCTCCCCTCGTTTATCCAGTTCAAGTTACCCTTCAACGTCGGAAGAGCGTTAGTACTGCTGTGCGGAGTTCATGGCAACGATGAGAGCCTTATACTTGTGTGGTGCGAGTCCCTGTGGCCCTTGTCCCCTTCCGTGTGTTATGTCTACCACCCTGCGAACCCGTGGTTCGTCTCCCATTCCGCGCGTGACCCACATCCTGTTATTCAGTGTCTTTGGACCGACTTGGGTTCAATTGCGCCTGCGCACTGTTCTCCGCATGCTCGACGCCCCTTCCACCGCTCGTGCTTCGCTTTGCGGTGCAAGAGGCCATCACCCGGAACCCACGTGACCGTGGTACGGGCGCCCGTTTCCCGCGCTTGTTCTCCCTGTAGGGAATGTGGAGATGGATCTTCACACACGAGCGCTTAACGGCAACACCCGCCCATCCACGTGAGATGATCTTCCCACCGCAGCTGTAGTGCCTCCCGTTCCCGTCGGAACAGTGCTCTCGTTCCTTACCGTACCCCGCACTCTACTCAACGTCGCACACAACCATGTCTATCCCCAAGAAGTTGCTGGTGAGTCACATCCACGTATTTCCAACCGTTAGCAGCCTCTTACCTGTGTTACCGTAGCCACTCTTCAATGTTTACCGTATCGGTGGACGGGCCCGTGTCACGGTGCCCTGGCGTGCTTTCGAAAAGGTGCGTACGACGCTCACTCCCCGACTTCCAAAGCTGATCGCATTTCAGGGTCTGCGTGCTCTCGAGTTCGACGTGAGGAAGGGGGAAGGGAGGGAGAGACGTGTGGTCGCGCCGGCGACAATGGGTAGCGGTCGCGCTACCCTCTACCAGGTGCGTCTCTGTGTCCCAGCCTCTCCACGTCGTGTCCACATGGATTGGCAGCCTGAAGACGGGATAATCGCCCCCCACGCGCAACCCCAGTCAGTTTTTCCTTCATGCTCTGCACGTTGGGACTTACCTCCACTTTAGCATCGTTCGCGTGCTCAGTACCCGCTGTGGGCTCACCGCGGAGTACCTGCAAAAGTTCGGGAAGGCGTAGTTAAGGGGTGGATAGTTGTACTTGCTCTTGAATCGTTCTGTATGTGTTTTGTAACAATCTCCGCTCTTCATGTTGTCGTATTGCTGTCAGTTACACCGTCGTGTCTGAATCTTCCCTATAAGAAGCTGGGGCGAAGATCTCGGTCTTGGCTGGACGTAGTGTGAAAGCGATACCCTTGTGAAAG